TTTGATGTCAAATTATCCATCCTGGCATAATTTATTTTGTTTGTTTTAACATTTTATCTGTCCATTTTTATCCATGCCATGTCACTGTATTTATTTATGCCCCAGCAGGGTTGCAAAACATGCAAACCTCATAGAAAATGAATTGTAAAATGAAACCTCATATAATATCTAGTTACATCACCTGAGGCTGATTTTCAACATTTTCTGAAGGTTGAGCACCTCATTTCACTGATCATTTGTTCTGCACTGATCCTTCTTCTTTTTTTTTTAAAATAAGTTTAGACTGTATTTTGTACCCTATTCATGGATAAATGCCCCTCATATATGTTTGTGGCTTATGTCTGTGTGACCCTAGTCATGTTACACAGAGGCTTCACATGTAAAACAGCAAAGGGGGATTTTGTGTTCAGGTTGAAGGCTTATGCAACAGTAATGAGGGCTGAAAGTGAGAACAGAGCCTGACAGACTAGATCTTTAGGAACACGACACCTGTGAACAAGTTCCCTTGTCCCTCAGCCCGCCACCGATACAGATACTAGATTGACAGACAGATACGCTGATCCTTTATATGCTGACACAGAGACATTAAGCTCTGGGAAAGAGACAGGTGGACTCAAATATGTATACAGGTGGGAATGATCTTTAGGTTTTGACCCATATTTAATTTTCAGGCCGATAGTGCCATCTGCTGTATGAATGACTTACAAGAAATGTCTCCATTACACTGAATTTTAGGTTTATTAAAAGTGAAATGTGCATATTCATATTAATATTCATCTTAATATGCAAACTGTAAGTAAGCAATTTGTAGTTTAAACACTGGCTCAACCAATGGCATGAGTTTGGGGCATGGCTATCTGTTTACTTGACTAATGGAAGACAAGGAATCCTATTTGGATGACATGCATCAAAATGTTAATGCCCTAAAAGGTCCCACATACACCCATATTTGCCATATGGACAGATCTAAATGGGATAATGTATTAAGCAGAGATGACGATAATGCGAGTTCGCTAGATTATGTAGCAAAAGGGCACTGATAACTGAGTGCTGCATGTGTGTTGCAAAGGTTTTATTCTTTTGTTTATATAACAGATATTTCCAGAATTTGAATTTGATTGGCCATGCAGTAATCAAAGTGCTGATGTAATAAGATTATGATTGATATATTGCTGATATAATATATGATCAGTCTGGCTTTAGTGGTGGGGATATTTCTAATTTATTGAACTATTATGTTTTATTTATTAAACAATTGTACAAAAGAATTATCGGCAGGAATATCTACAGCACATTAGTCTTGAACTATACATAATCATCTTCACCAACAGCTAATCTGACTAGGTTTAAAATGATCTTTTATCATAAAATGACTTATGCAAAACCATTTTAATTTACCATTTTTGACTTATGCAAAACCATTTTAATTTACCATTTTTGTGACTGACAGAATATTCTATCAGTGTAAGGTGAGAATGGCAGATATTTTAATACTAAGCATTGCTGAATAATGAATAATAATGCCTGAAATAATTATTTTAGAACTATTAAATAATTAAGTTGATTAGTCCTAGAAATTTGTTTGTCTTTCAAACATATTGGTGACCTTTTTTATGTGTATATATTCATAAATTCATTCATTTTAACATGGTGAATAAGGAGAGCGTAATAAATGGCTTCTTCAGAACAATTTTGACAAAATCTGTTTGTTGGAACAGTGGAAAGGTGGTTATAGATTAACACCAAATAATGCACACTAATTTAAAACCACCTGTCATTGACGGCATGTGTTAGGATGTGTAAGATTCAGCAACTGTAAAGATTGCATGAGAGATAAGCTTGTGTTTTAGCAGTTGTTATCGGTCTATGTTATATCTGTGCATCTACTTTTGAGAAGATTAAGACATAATATACAGTATGTTGTATTTGTGCTTACAGTTTGTGATGTTAGTATAAATTCATGCAATTAATACAGCATGGAAATTCATGCAGGGCTAAGCTGGATTCTCAGAAGAGTTTCTGTGTAAACATCTTCCAATGCTGATATTTATCAGCATAGATGGCAGCAAAATTCTCCTTAATTTTACTGAAAAAAACCCAGAATTGAGCCGTCTTCTGCCATCTGGTTCCTGCAGGTACACTCAAGCTTGTTCCAGGAAAAGAGAGTGGGCACATTTCCTGAATTGAGCATTATCACAGTGTGGAATGGATCAAAGGCACAACATGAAACTGATAAACAGCACAGCTGGGGTGAAATCAACCAATTAGAGGGCCCACAGATCATGTATTGCAGATACACAAACCCACATGTTGGTTTTTATGGTTTATGAGGACTCTCCATAGGTGTAATGGTTTTTCTACTGTACAAACCGTATTTTCTATCGCCCTACACCAAC